CGGGGAGGCGGGGGGCGGGGCGGCCGCGCACGCGCAGAGCCCCGGCGGCGGCGATGGCGATGGCGGCGCGGGGCGGCCATGGCGGCGGCGGCGCGGTGCGCTCGGTGCTGGGCACGATGGAGTTCGGGCGGCGGGCCGAGCGGGCGGCCTGCGCGGCCATGCTGCGCGCCTTCCTCGCCCGCGGCCACTGCGAGCTGGACTCGGCGCACATGTACGCGGGGGGCGAGTCGGAGCGCATCGTGGGCGCCCTCCTGGCCGAGGAGCCGCCCCGCCAGGCAGGTGGGTCCGGTCCGGGTCCGGGCGCGGCGCAGGCCCCCGGGCGCGTCCGGAGCGCCGCCCGCCCGAGCGAAGCGGGGTGCCCGGGGCACGCGCGGAGCGCCCCTTGAGAAGCTGGGCCAGGGTGCCTTTGCGCGCGTGCAGAGCGCACCCGCGCTCGCGCAGGTGAGGCCTTCTGGTGCAGACCTCCCCCGCAGCCCGGCCATTCTTCGGGCGCCTGCAGGCCGGCGGCGTCCCGGGGGCAGCGGGCAGTGAAGGGCCACCTCCGGGCGAGTCCAGAGGCTGGGAACGGCTGGCTCTCCCAGTGCTCCGGACTCCAGCTCCCATCTGCCCCAGGCAGCCTAGCAGGCAGCCCTCCCCCAAATCGCAGGCCCCCTTCCGCCACGTATGCCTGGGACGGCGGCCGAGCTGATGGGGCCAGCAGCATAGAGCCTCTCTGGGAGGGGGGGACGCGACGGAGACCCCAAAACCAAGCCCAGCGCGGAGGACCCCCGGGCACCCGTGGCACAGACCCGACGTGCGCCCGAGCTCGCCTCGCCTGCACTCCTGCACCCGAGGGAGCGACGTGGCCTCTTCCCGGAGCTGTAGTCCACAGGACCGGCCCGGCCCGGGCTCCCCCGGGCCCTGGGGCGTGACTGCCGGCTCTCGCTTTCGGGGCGCCTGACCCCTCTTCTTCCCGCCAGTCCGCGTGGCCACCAAGGCCAATCCCTGGGGTGGCAACACGCTGAAGGCCGCCGGCGTGCGCTCCCAGCTGGAGACGTCCCTGCAGAGGCTGCAGATGAAGAGCGTCGACCTCTTCTACCTCCACGCCCCCGACCACGGGACGCCGGTGGAGGAGACGCTCAGGGCCTGTGACGAGCTGCACAAGGAGGTACGGGGGCTCGGCCTGCCTTTGGCCAGGCCATGCCGCCCCTCGGGATGGGGGGAAAGATCCGTGCAGAAGCAGGGATCGGCCGCCCGTGGTGTGTGGCGGGGCCGCCCTTGGCACCCGAAGACCGGCCCCCCAGTTCCGGGTGGGCACGCGGCTCTGATTCTGCCGGGGCTCCTCGCAGGCGGCGCGCTCGGTGCGCGGGACGCTCTCCTGTGCCGTTCTCTCAACAGGGGAAGTTCGGGGAACTGGGTCTCTCCAACTACGCCGCTTGGGAGGTCGCGGAGATCTGTAGCATCTGCAGGGCGAACAGCTGGCTCCTGCCGACGGTGTACCAGGTGAGAGCGCGCAAGGGGTGCCGCCCGCTCTTGGAGACTCCCTGGAGCCGGAGACCTTCGGCTGGGCCTGTGAGCCGGTGGGGCAGGAGAGGGCGAACGGGGCATCCAGAGACGGCGCCCCCTGGGAAGGGCCTGCCAGGCCACTGGTGCATGAGCGGGCCCTGCGTGGCTCGTCCCCACGGCTGACTGCTACCTCCAGGTACCGGAGGCGGTGTGCCAGCGTGCACAGGTTGCTGGGGAGCATGGGCAGGGAGGCGCCGCCCCCTCCAGGCTTGCTTGCGGGTCCCCTGGGTCGGCCGGTGGGGCACTGGGAGCCGAAGGCCGCTGGGAGGGCCCTGCGCGCTCGGGGTGCTGAGAGCGGAGTGTGGGAGGGAACCAAGCTCTGCTCCCCGTTCCGGAGGGTGTGGACGAGCTGCCTTCATGCCGCTTTTCCGCCATCCCCCCCCCCCTTTTAAAAGGGC